GTTTCAGCGCCTGCATGGCCCGCGCCTTGGCGGTGGGGTCCGTGCCTCAGGGCCAAGGGCCACGGCAACAAAAAAACAAACAGAAAAGCACCAAGCCAAGCGACAAAAAAAAAAAAACGAACCAAAGGTGCTTTGCGTGGTAGATGTCGTGACTGCGCGCAAGACTCTTGAAAACCACATGCCAAGCTCGGCGGCATTTCATGATATGGTGTTTGGAGGTGTGGGAGTTATGCGCCACTTATATGCGGGCGGATTGCTGCCTCATGTCTGGAAATGCCTAGAAACGCCCAGCCGAAGCCTGTGCTATGAGGCTCCGACTCTGCTTCGCAACCCATTGCCGCGCCTGCTGGAGCTTGGATTTGGGCCAAGGGGTGGCAGCCCAAAAGGTCCCTGACGTCCTTCCCCCCTCAGACCAGCTTTTGGCTTGCAGAGGAAGCCGACGCAAGAGTCTGCAGGCTGGGGGCCTCATAGATTTAAGCGCCTGGTGAAATCGTTGGGGGTGAATCCAGAAAGGTCGACCTAAAGGCTGGCGACCTAACGGCCGCTTGGCTCAAAATGGATAGCGAAAGCAAGGAGTAGCCACCTAACGTTGGCTCTGGATTAATAAATTCCTGGTTGATGAACAGCGGAGTGTCCCAATTTGGAGGGCAGACTTCACTTAAAGAGATTGGCTGCTCTCATATGTGATGTCATGCTGTTCGGAAGAAACACAACTACCGAACATAAATCCAAGACTTCGACTTCGACAAATGGCTTCTAGGCGCATATGCTCAACTATCTCATGTTGACTTCGGATTGTCCCCCTGGGTGTTTCTCAAAATAGGGGCTCCATAACATGAATGGAATCCTTTTGGTTTCCCTTCAAATACCGACCAAAAGGGGTCCACCATATTGAAACATACCCTGGCAAATCAGCGGATTATTTGAGCTGATCTGCGCCAGCCTCAGGCTGGGTCCTGGAACAACTGGTCCCCATAGATCAGTATTGGTTTGTCTCAAAATTGGATGCGTCTCAAAATTGGATGCGGAACCCACAAAATGGCTTCCTTTTCCCTTTGAACCAACCTATTCTGCAAAGAAGACACGCCCATATCCCTCTCCCTGGACGCCCTAGGCGGACCGATCGCTGCATCACCAGCGACCCGAATCCCCAGACTAGAGCGAGACAAATGTTAAGCTCAAGCAAGGCACTACCTGTTGAAAAGCAAAGTGCGGTGTTGCCGGTGCTGCACTTGCCCAGGTTCATTCAACATATGTTCCAATTCGCATCCACTGAAAAACTCTAGCAAGCAAAAGCTGAAGTAGTTACACTTGTCGGTGTGTGTGTGTGTGTGGGTGTGTATGTGTTTGTGTTTGTGCGTGTGTCATCCTTACACAGGGGCCATGCCATTCTCCTCTGCTCCAATTTCATCGGACGGTCACGGCGGATCCAAATGCTTGGGATGTTTTCGGCGCCCATATTTGGGTTGGTCTCGAAGGGCGATTGGGTGGTTTCCTTTTTGTTTCCCCAATGGTGCCTCAAAAAGGGATGCTCATCTTCCCGCTTCGGCCTCCTCGTCCGCCTTCTGGATCTTAGACCCTAGCTCTTCAATCTTCTGCTCCAAGTTGGCAGCCGCATCCTGGAGACTGAAAAAAGAACAGAACCAAGCAGAACCAAGCTGAAGGTGCGAACCTCCTTGGCCAAATGGAAGGGCTCGAGCCAGAACCAAGGGCCCAGACCTGAATCACCCCGCCAGTCCTGCAAGTTGGCAGCCGCCTTGGGCGCTTCCGCGGGTGTGCTCTGGCGACCGCCCATGGCTCTCCGAACGGCCCGTGCGACTGTCCCGACCGAGTTGCGGATGGCGGCTGCAGCTCTGGCCCGAAACCTCCCTTGTCGCGCGCGTGCCCCGGCAGCGAGCCGAAGCTGCGGCCACGAGATTTGTCACTCACAAAAGGCCGGCCGCAAAAACTGCCCCAAAAACATGGCGTCGGTCTGGTCGACACCCCACCGAAGAAACAAGACACAGCTCCGGCGCAAGAGTGGATTTTGGGATTCGGGGGGTGCAGGCCTCTCCAGATCCAAATGCAAGTGGCACATCTTCCCACATCTTCCACATCTTCCAGCCTCACGGACTTGGAGGAACCTGAAGATGGGTCCGAACCCCAGCGATGGCGATACGAAAACCCGATAGAATCAGGTGGAACCCACCATGGCAAGGTTTGGGCGCTCGAAAGAGCCAGCATCGGGCTGTCACGCCCACGAGACCAAGCCTTGGAACCCGAAACAGGCTAATCTTTGCAACACACATTCGGGTATCTTTTTAAAGGATTTGGAGCAAACAAGAAATGTGGTTGTCCTTTTGATGTCCCTTCAAAACCAAGAGGGTTCCCAACCAAAAAGAAACGACACAATTGCTCTCAAATATTGGCAATCATTGAGCCCCAAAGTTGCTTCAGCTTGAAGTCACTCTTGTGAAGCCCTACAAGTCGCCGCTGTCACTTCGGTTTTGTGGAACATATATAAATAGGCCTTCGCAGAGCCTTGGGCCGCGAGCCGGGAAACTGGACCAATATCCACCATCCAACGTGCAAACACGTCGAAAGCAAGAGCGGAAAGCCAAGCAGAACGATGCTCAGCACAGCAGACATGCAGCACTTAGTGCGCAAGGGATCTGCTTCTCGATAAAACACGACATGTTTCCCTTCATTGAGACACCTCCCAAAGGAGAGAGATGGGTGCCGCAGTTTAAAAAACGGCACTTGTCACTACAGCAAGACCCACTAGACCAGCCGACCAGCTTCTAACAGCAGCACTGGCCAGCGACACGTTTATTACGCTCCTCGTCGTTGCCGCAGGCGTCGCAGTTGCGGCTGCCGTCGTTGCGCCTGCCGTGGTCGACGCACTCGTGCCCGAGGATGCAAAGGCTGTCGTAGAGTCCACGGCAGTCGATCCTGAAGCGGCTGTCGTCGTGGTGCCCGGGGATGACGTCGATGCCGCGGTGGTCTCTGCCGTTGTCTGTGCTTCTGTTGTCTCTGCTTCTGTTGTCTCTGGCGCTGTCTCTGTTGTTGTCTCCGTCATTGGCTGCGTTGCGAGCGTGGTCGACTGGGAGCTTGGCACTGTGGTGGTCGTATCTCCGCTGTGGCTGGCGCTATAGTAAATCTCGCCGGAGCTCAAGGCCGGAAGCTCCTGAATACTTGAGCCCATGTTGGAGCCTGCAGCGTCAAAGCACGGGCAAAAGCGATCATAGGTGACGCTCTTATCTTTCAGGGTGAAGGTTGTTCCACTGCCTCCATCATCGTCACACTGTGAGTGCAAGCTGCGACACAAAGCTACGCTCACAAGGCCTCCACTGGAGCTGGGCCCATAGCAAGCAACCGTGAAGGGCGGCCCATCTTGCACGTGGTAATGGTAGACTGGCGTGGATGATTCTGGTGTGGGGCCGATATGTGCACCGCAGGCATCCAAAAGCGGCAACCTTTGCTGCGCGTAATCTTCCCATTTCCCATACATGCTGTAGGAGGCAACCACTCCCACTTTTGAAGAATGCCCGCCTGACAAAGAGTACAAGCAACTGAAGCTTCTGTGAAAATGATAATCATGAGTGTGTCCACCGCACTGGCCTACTACGCCATAGTATACGCCGCCTGAGAGCCGAGGAAACTGGATGTTGCACAAATAGGCGACCCGCGCCTCGGCGGTGCCAACATCAGTCCCGCCCTCGTTGTCGTATACCACCGAGGCATCTGAGCAGCCCCAATTCTTGATGATGTTCTCCTGGTCACGAAATGCGGACCCTGCCTCCCCCCCCACCCCACCCACTATCAGCGACGTATGGGGGCATTTGAGACCAACCACCACTAAGGGCTGTTAAAATAGACCCTCAAAATAGACGCGCTGTGCATTGGCCAAAACATAACCCAAAAACAAACACCAAACTGAACCAGCGGCCCCAAACTCTCTACAGCTGGTAGAGGAATTGCAGCCTAGCAACTAGTGCCTGTTAGGGTCCAGCAGGCCCAAAAAGGCCATACCCTTCCAATGGCTCCCAACCATATATATATATACATTTCATGTGTACGTACATATAAATGTGTACTAATATAGATAGATATATATCTATATATATATATGGTACCCCCCCCCCGCAGGGACCGCTTCAGGCTTGATGTAAACCGATTTAAACCGATTTAATTTAAATCAGGCATGGATTCAAGATTCAAGAGTCCAGGCCAAACTTTTCCAGGGAATCTTGAATCTTGAATCCATGCCCGATTTAAATTTGAAAATCGAGACCCGAATTCAAAAATTACACTTTGCGCGGCTGTGCTTTGGCACAGTGTTGTGCAAGCATCCAAGTTCTGATTATTCATTCAATCTGTTTCAATCTAGGCCCACATTCAAGATTGTAGGCCAAACTTTTCTAGGGGATCTTGAACCCAGGCTCAACTGAAATTTCAGTCGGTTTCCGTGGGTTTCACTCAGGCCTGGACTCGCGTTTGCACAGAAGATTTGTCTAGAGAATATTGATTATCAAATCCTGTTAAAGCTCTAATTGAATTGTAAGCATATATTGCGAAAGGCACTCTACTTAAACTCGAAAATTCAGATTTGATTCCCAATAGGATTCTGACCAAATATTTCCGTATTGAGTCCCAATTAAATCGTGATCAAATTCAAACGAGCATTAAGATTTAGCGAGCGTTCGTTGGTGGAGATGTGAATTGAGTATGAAAAACGCTGCACAACACTGTGGTTTACGGTGTTTTCTGACCATGGTGGTGTTAGGACTAGCGACAAAAACACAAGTTTGGGACCTTTGGATTCTTTCCTTGTAATTCCACTTAATATGTTTTAGCAAATTCGACCCAAATTCTGATTGAAAATCAATAGAGCTTAAGAAGGACATACTCCAGCCAGAATTTCGATTTAGATTCGAGCTTAAATATTGATTGTTCTATGTCAGATTCAATGGTACAAACGATTTCCTGTCCAATAGAACACTGTAATTGAAATTCAATCACTTTCAGAACTAGAGTTGGATGGTCTAGTCCTAGTTTGGTGCTAGTCCTAGTTGGGAGAACCTTGGTTCTAGGCCCTGTATGCTCCTTGCTTACTGAAATAAATAGAACATAGAAAGGACATTACAAAGGAAGTTCGCTATGAATTGTAGTTAATACATTAATCAAGTTTTATGCAACTACTAACTGAACAGTAGAGTTTAAAATAAGGAATCTATCCAGTCATAACTTGCCTGTTAAGTTGGAATATAACATATTGGCTATTCTGTTTCAAACCAAATATCAAACAGGACTTTCTTTCCACCAGAATGTAATCCTTGACATCCAAATACTATAAGAAGTAGAGTTAAATAGTCTAGTCCTAGTTTGGTCCTAGTCCCAGTTGAAAGATCCTGGGTTCTAGTCTCATTTGGTCCTGGTCCTAGTTGAGTGTGCGTTCCTCCCAGTCCTAGATGGGCAAATCATGCACTGGAGAGTGCTGGGAAGGGAGGGTAGCATATATATATATATATGTATATATTAGTATGTATACATATAATATATACATGTGTGTGTGTGTGTTTGTTCTTGAGGGTACCCTTTTCACCTAGGCTCAGGAGAGTTTTTGACACACCCATGAGTCGGAGCCACGTCTCTCCTGCTGAGCTCCGAAGCCCGCCTCGAAGGGCCCATAGATGTGGGCGTTCAAAGCGATGGTGTCCCCAGCCTTCAGCATCTCATGGTCATAGCTGACCTGAAATTCATACCATGCCTCCAATATCATACAACTTGTTCCAGACCTCGATATGTTTTCTTCTCCTCCTCCTCCTTCTCCTCCTCCTCCTCATCCTCCTCCTCATCCTTCTACTTGCTTTCTTCTTCTCTTTCTTCTTCGCCATCCTTCTTCTACTCGCCACCATCGGAGGTGCCACAAACCCTACTATAATATAACTATAACTTCTAACTGCAACTATGATGACATCAAAATGTATGCCTTGTAACCTTTCTTCTGCTGCTTCTTCTTCTTCTTGGACTAATACTAGCAGCACTACAACTTGTTGTTGTTGCTGCTGCTGCTGCTGCTGCTGCTGCTGCTGCTGCTGCTGCCGCCTGACCGAAGGATCCCCATGCTCTTTGTCAGGTCTGTCCGGTGGGCAAAGGTAGTCCTTTTGCCTCCATTGCGATTCAATGCGCATGACATTCTTCTACCTTGCACAAACACAGACGTGATCTGCCCTGGAGTCCACGATGCATGGCGCCACGGGTCAAAAGCTCGTACCCTCAGTGAACATCCCAATCCCCACTAAAATAGACTAAAATGGGTGGTGCACCTACCCCAAAATGGTACCATTGGTTTTGACCCACAGCCATTTATGTATTGGCCTCAGTGTGACCGGACCCTCTTAGTTTTCTCCAAGGCACCTGCCCTGCCACCGTGGTGCACCCCACATCCCCGAGCAGTGGTGCTGCGCAGGGGGGGCTGCCGCAGGAGGGATTCGAACACGAGCCCGACGTGCCCCCTCCGCCCGATGGAGCCTGGGCAACCGATCAAAGGAATTTGAACTGAACTGCTTTCTGGCTTCCTTTGATTGGGAATCGCTTTCAAGTATCACTCCAAAGCAAAGCTCAATCAACATTGGACCAACACCCCCCCCGGCCCCCCACAGGCACGATCCCTCACACAGATACCACAAAGGGGAAAAAAATCCTGCACCCCTCAAAGCGAGGGTGGAAACCCTACCTCCGCGGCCACAACATAAATTGCTATGGTTTGGAGCCGTGACGGGACGGTCCACTTGACACAAGGGGTGGGGTTCGTTTTGTTTGGGACCTCCTCTTGGTTGGTTTCAAAACAAAACCAAAAGGAAACCAGCCGTTGTGTGGGCTCCCCGATTCTGTAGCACCCTCCCAAAAGAAACTGGTGGTGGGCATAAGCCCGTCCATAGGGCCCAAGCAGTTAGAGTGCTTCCCCACATTCCTGCCCGAGGACCTTGGGCCCGAACCCCTGGTATTCGTGCTCACAAGGATGGACACAGACACGGTCACAACTCCTACTCTCGATGGACGAAATGCATTTCGCACCACCAAAGAATCCCTGGCTTCTGGTGCTTCCCCTGTAACTTCCCGTGGTTTCAATCCAGGATTCTGTCCATCCACAGTGCGTCTACTGCACGGGTTGCTCACAAACCCGGCCTGGGTCGTCGGCCCCGGCGTCGCCGGTCCAGCGCAGCCATCGGGGGGCGGGCCGATGCCCGGGCCCCAGGTCACGCCGTGCCCGGAGCAGTCCTAGCAATACGCCCCGAGTGAGTGAGTGACCAGTAGACAGACTCGCCCGAGCGAGCGAGAGAGAGAGCGAGAGAGAGCGAGAGAGAGAGAGAGAGAGAGAGAGAGAGAGAGAGAGAGAGAGAGAGAGAGAGAGGAGAGAGAGGCTAAAAGGGACGGTTGCAGCGGTAAGCCCAACCGCTTCTCATTTCCCTTGGGATGACTCCGCCAACTTCCAATTCAGAGAGAGACGCTCAGGGTCCTGAGCGTCTGCCCAGCGGAGCAGATGCACCAGCAACGCCCGGAAAAGCGCCATGGCAGTGGGCGCGGGGCACAAAACGGGAGGTGCCACTGGGAGCCAGCGAGACAAGTCATTGAGCCCCTTGCGCTGGACCGCTGGCCATGAATTCTAGTCGAAAGCACCTCCAGAGTGGTTTGTGGACAAAAGTCCAGTATGAATGATGTCCAGTAAAAATTCCACTCCTCATCTGGACAAGACTATATGAATGCCTTACATTGGCTTTTCAGGCCGAAAACCCAATCAACGACCATCGCGTCCTGCAAGAAACAATCGAAAATGCAAGGAGCTTCGCCCAGAAAATCCCGGGCTTGCGACTTTTCTGTGGCTCCAGAAGGTTCCCAGACTTCCTGCCAGACCCCGAAGCTAGGTCTGCGGCAGGGCGGCCACGTTCTCCTTGGTCAGTTGGTCAGGCCTCTCGCCAAGGGCTCAACAACGGGCTCCAAGAAGCCTCTGCGTTCAACCCACGCACGTACCTCGCCAGGGTTCTTGAAGCGAGTAAAAGGGCTTGGCCCTTTTCAAGTACGTTGAACACTCAGGCATGCCTTTCGCTCATTTGCCCGAAGGGCCTGAATGGACAAATTTGCGGAAAGGGGGGCAGCATGCTACGCTCCACTCCAGAGTTCAAATCGGGAGTTTTGCACTCTGGGCTGTCTTGGGACCACATTCCAAGTGAGTTTTTGTGCGCACTAGCAGGCTCAGAGGCTGTTCTTGCTCCCTAGTCCGACAAAGCCACGCTCTGCATTTTGCAAGGGAGTCCATTCATGTATTCTCATGTCATTCTGACAACACATTGCGGCGAGGGCTGCGCATACAACTTCGCACCGTCAAGTCACGGGGCAACTCAATGCCCTTCTGCAAGACTGATGGACTGCCGAAAAGCACGTTATATCTTCTAGACCGAAGAAGAGAGGGTCGAGATCGCGTGAATCACCCCGCGCCTTTGCCACGTAGCATTCGCCAGGCTTGAGCTCGGTCTGGCAAGCAGGCAGACAAACAGACAGGAATCCAATAGGACAGGCAGGCCTTCTATGATGGGATCATGCCCCGGGCCACTCTTCGGCAGCTCTACAGCACTCGCCTCACAAAAGGAACAGAATGAAGCACCAGCCCCGTTGTTCTGACCGAGCCAAGAAAGCATCAACAACCTTGTTAAAAGAGGGAACCCCTAAGGGTTGTTTAGAAGGTTTTCTCAAAAGACACACGCCCAAATGGAAGTATTTCCAAGTTGAGTCGGAGTTGGAACCGATCCGAAGATGACATTGATGTAGTCTTCCAACGTCAAAACTCGGAACTCCCCCACACCGTATGAGTTTGTCTTTTTCCCAAAGCAAATAGTGGGTGTCCTTTTGGTTTCACTTTAAAGCCATTCCAAAAGGGGAATCCTCAAGATGCTTGAGACATTCTCTGTCTAAACTTCCCTCCAGTGTTTGCTTTTGATGCAGTTCACCTTCCACCGAAAACTTGGCCCAACGACCTTCCAGGATGTCGTGCTGCAGCTGTACGCCTCAGCGCTCAAGTTCTTGGTATTAAAGCGGTCTACCCTGAACCAGAAAAGAACCAGAAACAGGTCGGCCGCACCTATTTGGGAGTGGCTCAAAAATTGAAGAGTTAGGCTTGCGCAGGTTCTGGTCTTTGGTTCCATATACTAAAGTGCCATTTTGGTTCATGTCTTTGAGCCACGGCCTGTATGCCTCAGATTCTCACCTTCCTCTACCCATATTTTTTTGGTGGCTCACGTTCTGTCGACATCTAGGACCTTCAAGACGGTTGGCTTTCCTTTGGTTGCCCTTCTTGCAACCTGCAAAAGGGTACCTAGGAAAAAAGTACACCCACCAATGCTCTATGACACAACCTCGAAAGTGTCCATGGCGCAATCATGCATCCAGGTAAAAAAAAAAAAAAAAAAAAAACTGCCGCAGATGCCATTCCATCAGTGAATAGCCCTGAGTTGGTTGGCGATTGGCGTTTAGTCCAGTTCAAGGGCTTTTGTTGCCACCGATAACCTCCCCCTCTTTCCGAAGAAAACGTGGTCGCTGTGAGCCTTGCTCCGTTGCAGCGGACTGTAGGGAATAGAGTGAGCGGGACCCAATGTGTATTAATGCCAAGGACTGCAGTATTGCAAGGGATGTGTGAAAGCAAGCAGCGCATCAGGAACCGCATGGGGCAGGTACGTTCTTCCACAGCCTCTTTGCTAGGTACACTGGGACATCGATGATACACTCTGTGAATGGCAAAGAACCCACAATCTTGTCTTGGCTGTGGACATGGCAGGATGTAAATTGAAGAGAGAGAGAGAGAGAGAGAGAGAGAGAGAGAGAGAGAGAGAGAGACAGAGAGAGAGAGAGAGGCCGCAATTCCAGCACTTTCGGCAACCCCAAGCAGCAGCTAGTAGCTCAGTAAGAATGCCCTTGGATGATCCTCCTTTCAGTACAACACTGTGCCATGTAGATTTTTTGCCAACCCTCTAACATGTTCACATGTTCAACAACAAACAAACGAACAAACAAACAACCAAACCAGACCAAACCAAAGCAATCCAAGCCAAGCAAGCCAAGCAAGCCAGCCAGCCAGCCAGCCAACCACCCACCCACCCACCCACCCACCCACCCACCCACCAACAGCAGCAGCAGCAACAAAGCGGTCTCACCTTCATAACTGAGCTTTTTCAGGCACAAAGGCGCCTTTGCGTGAAAACCAGACGTGTCCCTAGCTTCCAACTTCGAATGCACCCGAGAGCCAGGCTCATTGGAGTCAACGGCAGAAGGCGGCGAAGGTCGTCGCCCGCCTGCAGCAATCTCGCCTACTTGGTGGAACTGAGTGCGTCTTTGCTACATTAGATGATTGTGATTTAGCCGCTGGGAAAGATTTTGGACCACAAACAGGACCCGCAAACGAGCAGGCTCCGGCCTCAGCAGAGTTCTCTTGCGCACCAGCGTCTTCTCCTTCCGGAAATCCTTCACTTCTAAGTCCTGCCAGGAAAGAAAACAACCGGCCGCTTTGACAGGTCAAAAAATCCAAGACAGCAGGCCGCAATTATCGAAAACCATCCAACTCGGTGAATGAATTGTCCATGCGTCCTGTGGTACTGCGTCAGAGTGACATTCTGCAGGCACGAAGGGTGGACGCACAGACCGTTCCACAATCCCATCCTGCAGGCACAGACACCTCCATCCTTCGGCTTCCAGCTGACCCTTTCCGAGGATGGGGCAAAGAGGTTGCCGCTGTACGCAAAGTATTCATGCTCCTGCCCACGAAGTGTCAAAGCATGTTTCTAGGGTGCGGCCTTTGACAGTCATGCTGGTACACAACAGCAAGGACCACACTCAAAGAGCACATCAAGACCTCAAAAGAGATGATGCCCGAGCAAGCTTTGCAATGTGTTTGGATTGCAAAACAAAACTATAGATGCCGCGCTCTGCCGTGGGGAACTTTCCCTGGCTCGGATTGCAAAACCACCTGCAGGGTTCATGCTAACTTCGGGCTAATCTGGAGGATGCTAGTCAGCCCGGAGATGAGGCCTGGATTCAGGGAAAGGGTGATTCTGGAAGGTATGGAAGGGATGACCCTGAATAAAGATAAGGGGATTACAGCATTCTTGAGGGTCAATGGCAATCAGCGTAGCTTTAATTGGGGTCTGGCATTTATTGTGTGCATGAGCTCATGGCGGGTAGACTTGCTGGCAGGGTCAAGTTGCCCTCGAACGCGAGTGCAGCGGTTCCTTGATATCATCCCATCCGAAGACTCCAGCTCCAAGCCGAGCTTCAGGGGTTTTCTCCAGCATGCCCTCACGCATGCGAGCAAAGGATGTGGATGGTTGCTAAAGGTCCCCACGAAACCATCAGCCGCGGAAATTGGTTGATTGATATATATATATATATATGTATGTATATTATATATATATATATAAACACATCTGTCCCAGGTGTTCATACATCCCAGGCGCCAATCAGGGTGCATTTTGTCCAGCTCCCTTTCTCCCGCCATCTAAAACCGAAGACAAAGCTTCACATCTTAAAGGTCAAGCTCGGGAAGCTCCCTTTGTAGGAAACCCGATGGCATCATCCCTTCAAACTCAAAGCAACCTCTGTATGTTGCTAGAGCACTGTATGTTGCTAGAGCCGCCCTCCCAATCATGAAAGATGAGACAAGGCTTTGCCTGGCCACGGTTTCTGCAAGGCTGGAATGTCAAAAGGAAAGTAAGAAGTTGGATGGTTCCTTTGGATCATTCTACAGGATTCCCTAAAGTTCCGCTTGAAACATCACCCCTACCAAGGAAACCCCATCTTAAATGACCCAACATGGTGATGTGTCAAACCACTTAAGAGGACATACGGCGAGCTCTGAGAAACTGCATCCTTAAGCCCGCCTGCAGCAGATCCCGTCCGCACGCGTCTCCGTAGGCAGCGGGAAACTCGAGCGCCTGCTTATCAAGGCTCACTAGTGCAGGCCTCTTTCGAACCTCCTTTGACAGTGAACCAAACTGCTGCCATTGAGGGTATGTGCATGTGCATGTGTGTGTGTGTGTGCTTAGGGTTGTTAAAGGGAAACCAACGAAAAACCAACCATGCGGGGGATCCTTTCAACTTTCAACCATCAAGAAGACACTCACAGCACCAGCTGGGCGTTTTTTCAATTGGGAACCGCTGCTGAAAGGGACTCAAAAGGAACCCAGCCAATTTGGTTTCTGTCGATTCCGGCCGGGCGCCAGCCTGTTTCAGCACCGCCTCAAAAATGTCCTGGAGGCGAGGGGGGAAGCTGCGTGCCATCATTATTCGCCCCTTTGGATACCCCGACGTTTATTCTCAGACTCCAAACCTTTCAAGATTAGGGGGTGATCTAATTCCACTTGACTGGACTGGCTTGCTGGGAACCTGAGCATAAAATTGCCCGTCAAATGATTCTAACATCTTGTCAATTAGAGGCACTGGTCTCTTCCAAAAAAGTCCACCAAGAACTTCGGGACCCTGGGCCATCCAGGGCAACCAACGAGCCAAGCCCCACGTCTCCCCCGCCTCTCCCCCGCGTCTCCCCCGCCCCCCGCCCCCGCGTCTCCCCGGCCGCCTGCTTCTCTCGGCCTTCGAAGGGCCGACACCCGCAGACCAGCTCGAAGAGGAGGACCCCCAGCGCCCAGACGTCCACCTCGCGGCCGAATGGCTCGGCTTCCCTGGTCGTCTCGGGCGTTTGGTCCTGTTTGTTTTTTTCGTGGGTCTTCCTGTTGGTTCGTTTTCGGTTGCTTTCCTTGTGGTTGCAAAGGGAAGCCAAAGGGCCACCATTGGCAGAAGTCTTCCAAGTTTCTCGGTTTGCCAAGATCGCTACGTGCTTTGTCGATGGTTTCCGAATGGTGTCCCAATAGTTTGCAAATGCTGTCAGCTGCCCTCCAAGGGGAAATGATTTCCCAGAGCCGCCCTTCCAACAGGTGTTTTTGGATAAATAGATGGCACTGGAAATCGGACCAAACTGAAACCAGCGGAACCCATCTGGCATGAAGTTCAAGAGGGACCCTTTGGTGGTCATCTTTTAGGCGAGTCATGTCCACCAACTGACCTAAAAGATCCTGCGCATCTTGAGGCGTACACGAAAGTGTAAGTGGTGAGTAAAACAAATCTGCAACTGGACGGTGTGCAGCAAGAATTGCTTCGCAGCTACACATGTTTGCTGCCAAACGATGTCATCCTTGAGTTGCTGCTCTTAGACATTTCCTAACAAAGATATCAGGTTTAAAAATCGAATGGTTTTCTCGTTTCGTTCCACGGACTCCTCTTCCCATTTTTCGCCTCGCCTCGGTGCCGTACCCCTCCCTGCGGCTGAGGATGGCCTGCGCGGAGACGGAACGATGCTTCCTCGAAGCCGAGAGCCCACTTGTTGAGGCGAGAATCCGGATCCGGATCTACTCCCTTGAAGGGATCCCTGAACAGAAAAGTGGGAGTCGGTTTGGCGACGTTCAGAAGGCACCTGAAAAAAGCAGGTGACAGAATCTCAGGCCTCGCGAAAAGACATGGAAACCGCTCCTGGCCCTTGCGGACGATCGCAAAATCGCCGGGGGCTTTGTGTGCTCTAAGTTCCATAAGAACCACCAAACAAGCCAACGGGGTCCACATAACAAATGCTCAGGTCCGTTTTGGCACCTCTGGGGCCATGTAGTGAGGGCTGCCCACGCACGTGAAGGTGCGGCCGCCCTGGCGTTCAGAATGCATGCATGGAGTGTCCATGACCGCAAAACAATGGGCTTGTCTTAAAATTGGGAGCCACGTTGGTGGCATACAGGAAACCAAAAGGAAACCAACCAGTGTTGGGGGGTTCCCTATTTTGAGACATCACCGGGTCCTCTTCTCAAATTCCCCTCCCTGTAAGGTGCTTGAAGGGCTTCATTTGCCCAAGTAATCTTGGGAAGACTTCACAATGCCAGGCCGCTTGAGGGATTTGCTTGCGTTGAGACTGACAGGCGCTCCTCCGGCCAATCCCAAGCTTTCACTCGGTAAGTCCATGCGTCCACGGCCTCGTCCAGCCGCTTTGCAAGCCCGAAGTCGATGAGCTTCACGCTGCCTGCGATACCCGGCCCGGAGAGAAGCTCCCAGCCACGGGTCGGGCGGTCGGGCGGGCGCCGGAGATCCCAACTCCCCCTCTAGACTCGTTTTATTGTGGCGTGCTGAAAGTCGCACGGCTCAATGGTGGTGCCAGGGGAAATGCCACTTGAACGGACCCAGACATACGAGCTGAAAAGAACTGCCGTCCTCAATGAGGATGTGGGATTCTCCAACTAGGGGGACCCTCCAAGAAGGGTACCAACTCAAACAACGGAACCACGGCCACATGGCAGAAAACAGTCACCATTCGCAACTATGCGCTGTGCTTCCCGCAGCTCACATCATGATGATCACTTACTTCAGCCCAAACACCTTGGGAATCCAGCATGACGTTGTCCGGCTTCAGGTCTCGGTACACAATGTTCCTGCCCAAACCAGTCGTTGTTTATTCAACCCGTGCGTATGCGTGTTGTTTCAACATATCCGCCTTCAAGCAAGGGTGTCTAAATCATCCGAAATCCTTGTTGAGCCAAGGATCCCTTGCCTCGGTCATTCCTGGAACCATCAGCTTATTCCGAACCAAGTTTCTTAGCCGACCACATGTCGATCTTGACCAAACCCAGCATAATCATTGTTGCGGTCGTGTCACTTCCGGCCTGTCATGGAGCACCTCCAGCACAAGAATCAAGGAGCCGGCATAGAAGCGCGCGGCTTCTCGTTGCGCTGGCCCCTGCCCCTGGGCGAATACGGCTAGCACACAGAGATCAGGCGCCATCGGAAACGCTGGCCTTGATGTAGCGCCGCAGCGTGCCGCCGGTAATATATTCCATCAGGATGTAGAGGCTCGTTTGAGTCTCATACCTGGAACGGCATTCGGCAGAACCTTGTTGTGGAGCTGGGCTCAAGACACATCTTGCACCCTGCCCTGCACATTCCCCTTCTCTCTCGGGTGAGGGATCAAAAAAAAACTGTTTAGGCATCAAAACAAACTTATTTCTGAAGATCAAAAAAACTTGTTAGGGATCCAAAAACCGATTCTCATTGATTTACTATAAAAAATGAAAAATCAGAGGATCAAAAAAAAATTGTTGGGGATCAAAAAAACTTATTCATTTCGTGGCAGGCGAAGCACTTTCGCAACGTCAGGTACAGACTTCGTGGCAGGCCCGGCACTTTCGCAAGGTAGGCGCAATGTTTTCACATATTTCGCGGCAGGCGCAGCACTTTCGCAAGGTGCGGTACAGATTTCGCGGCAGGCGCAGCACTTTCGCAAGGTCAGGTACAGATTTCGTGGCAGGCGCAATACTTTCAGAAGGTCAGGTACAGATTTCCCAGCAGGCGCAGCACTTTAGCAAGGTCAGGTACAGATTCGCGGCAGGTGCAGGACTTTCGCAAGGTGCGGTCCAGATTTCGCGGCAGACGCAGCACTTTCGCAAGAGGTACCAATTTCGCGGCAGGCGCAGCACTTTCGCAAGGTACGGTGCAGAGTTTGACGCAGGCGCAGCATTTTCGCAAGCAATGAAGAAAAATATACAGAGATATAAACATGAAGAAAAAGGGAGAAAACAGAGAGAGAGAGAGAGAGAGCGAGAAAGACAGAAAGAAAGAAAGAAAGAAAGAAAGAAAGAAAGAAAGAAAAAAAGAAAGAAAGAAAGAAAGCAAGAAAGAAAGAAAGAAAGAAAGAAAGAAAGAATAAAAGAGAGAGAGAGAGAGAGATGATTCGAGGAAGTGATGATTCAGCAAAGGGCGCGTTAAGCTTTGTACACATTCTGAAAATCAGCCGGGGGGGTTGGGGGTCGGCAGCCCCCCCCATGATGTTCGAGGAAGTGATGATTCAACAAGGGCTGCGTTAAGCTCTGTAAGCATTCGACAAATCAGCAGGGGGGTTGGGGGGGGCGGCAGCCCCCCCCATGATGTTCGAAGAAGTGATGATTCAACAAAGGGTGGTGATGACCAAAGAAGTGATGATTCAGCAAAGGGTGCGGAAATCTCTGTAAACATTCTGAACATCAGCGAGGGGGTTCGGGGGGGCGGCAGCCCCCCCCATGATGCTCGAAGAAGTGATGATTCAACAAAGTGTGATGATGATCGAAGAAGTGATGATTCAGCAAAGGGTACGTTAATCACTGTCAACCTTCTACAAATCAGCGGGGTGAGGAAGGTCAGGTACAGATTTCGCAGCAGGCGCAGCACTTTAGCAAGGTCAGGTACAGATTCGCGGCAGGTGCAGGACTTTCGCAAGGTGCGGTCCAGATTTCGCGGCAGGCGCAGCACTTTCGCAAGGTACCAATTTCGCGGCAGGCGCAGCACTTTCGCAAGGTACGGTGCAGAGTTTGACGCAGGCGCAGCATTTTCGCAAGCAGTGAAGAAAAATATACAGAGATATAAACATGAAGAAAAAGGGAGAAAACAGAGAGAGAGAGAGAGAGAGAGAGAGAGAGAGCGAGAAAGACAGAAAGAAAGAATAAAAGAGAGAGAGAGAGAGAGAGAGAGAGAGAGAGAGAGAGAGAGAGAGAGAGAGAGAGAGAGAGAGAGAGATGATTCGAGGAAGTGATGATTCAGGAAAGGGCGCGTTCAGCTTTGTATACATTCTGAAAATCAGCCGGGGGGGTTGGGGGTCGGCAGCCCCCCCCATGATGTTCGAGGAAGTGATGATTCAACAAGGGCTGCGTTAAGCTCTGTAAGCATTCTACAAATCAGCAGGGGGGTTGGGGGGGGCGGCAGCCCCCCCCATGATGTTCGAAGAAGTGATGATTCAACAAAGGGTGGTGATGATCGAAGAAGTGATGATTCAGCAAAGGGTGCGTTAATCACTGTCAACCTTCTACAAATCAGCGGGGTGGTTGGGGGGGGGGGGGGGTCCTTCCTTCCTTCCTTCCTTCCTTCCTTCCTTCCTTCCTTCCTTCCTTCCTTCCTTCCTTCCTTCCTTCCTTCCTTCCTTCCTTCCCCCCATAGGAATGAGCATAAGTTTTGTTTGATGCCTAATAAGTTTTTTTGATGCCGAATAAGTTTTTTTTGATGCCTAATAAGTTTCTTTTTCATGCCTATCCCTTTTCTCTCGGGCCGAGGCCCAACACACCACAGGCCTCTCGATTGAACAATGCACCTTTGGGTGCCGTACGTGTGCAACATGTCGAGGATGAGCGGGTGGTCCTCCAAACGCCCTGTTTGGAACTCGCTTTGGCACATACCAGTTGTAACCGGTTGGAAAACCATGAACTGTTCCGTTTGGTTGGTGCATACCCTTGGGGTGTATGCCGGATGCCCTTCTTCCCTTGTTCGCTTGCTGAATTGGGCAATATCCCTTTTTGTTGGGGGGATGTTGTTGTCTCCCTTTTGCCAGTCCCTCGTCGCACGTTCCGGGGGTAGCTGCGAAAATGAGACAAAAAAAAACCCAAAGAAATCGAAGCCCATCTTGAGGGTGTCAAAGAATCCATCCCGCGATCCCCCGCACACACGCGGAAAGAAGCAAAGACGGCGGTCCATCTCGGCCAAGAGCTCGCACTCTCCGCCTCAGTGGCTCAGGCTACTTGCTATGTGCCTTTCCACGTGGAAGGAAAAGTGCCTTGTCTCCCTAGTTCTTGCCGGAGACTTGGGTTGCCCTCCATGTCCCATATCAACTGTGAATTGCTCACAATATTGCCTGCTACTCATTTGGGTTTGCTTTAAAATTGGGAAACCGAACAACAATAGTGCCCGGCATCAAAACATGCGGCAACACGCCGTTCAGCCAATGCAGAAAACCGCAGCAAATCGACTGTTTGCAAGCCCTCCGTGGCCATTTATTCGTCTTTGAGCAGTCACGCATCTTGCTCTGCCTGCGAGTCTTTGGCGGATCTGGCAGCTTTGGACGTGTGCCCCGCGGCCTCAGTCTCTGAGGCTCTTTTCCAGGGCTCCGCCACCGAATGGAACTCGCCGTTCTCGCCAAAGGCGTCCCAGCCGATCGCTGTCGCCTCCTGGGCCACTTCGGGGCCAAAGCGGGCTCCCACAAAAAGCTTGGAAGCTGCGCTGGGAGGGGCATCGGGCATGGCACTGATGCGGCACGGCACACCGCTGGCGAGCAGGTCGGCCATGAGCACTTCGTACGGCACCTTCCAGAGCGGATATCGCATGGCCGCACCACCAAAGACTTCCTGCACGATGGGGCTCAAGGCTTTCTCCCGCCAGCTTCGAATATGCTCCAGGTGCAAATCCCCGAAACACACCGACACCACACGTCTGCCGGCCAAGCCCTGGCGAGCCATCTCCAAGCCCCGACGGACCTGATCCTCGTAGCGGAGGCCAGTTTGAAGCGGCACACCCACCAAGCTGGCTCCCAGCGCGCGGGCTTGCCGCACCACCGTCTCAATCTCAACCTCCTGGTGGGCAATCACACGGGTTCGCGCATCAAAGGTGGTGACGAACACGGCGTCGCGCCGCGAATCAGACTCTCTCTGTATGGTCCGCAAGGTCAAGAAGCTGTCTTTCCCACCACTCCAGAAGAGGAGATCTACCTCATCAGCTGCCAAGGCTTTGTGGAGCCATGCAGGCTGCTGAATGCGCTTGGCGCGGTCCGCCATTGGCACCCCGGCATGGCTGTACGGGCAATGCCGGCAGCCACATCCACAGCATTTGCCGCGGCTCTTGTGCGCCACCTCTGTGAAGACCTGGAAACCTGTCGCAGGATCCAGGTAGAAGCGTTCCCCACGATCGCAAGCCGCCTTGTGCAGCGACCAGCACAGATCCTCAATGTCTTGATCCATTTTGTCCGGAAGTGACCCATCCACACTTGCAGGAGCATGCACTCGATCCCAGGCTGTCCCTTGAGCTGGCAACAAGTCGGTGGCCTCGATTGCCTTGACAATCGCTGGGTTCCTGTCTTGCATGATCCGCGCCAAAATGGCCACGCCCGCCACCAAGGAGGGTCCGGGCCGGGCAAAATAGCGGTTCCCATCAGCGGCGAAGACCTGCCCCTCCGCCACGCAACGCAAAGAAGTCCACCAAGGCTTGGACCACAGCTTCTGAGCATCCTGAAAAAAAAAAACTATCTGCTGGCTGCCAGCTGCAACTGCTGGCTCTTGCTCCCCCCCAAAAAAAATGAACGGGCCATTTGAAAGCAATCTCCATAGTAAGGATGCCAACAAAACAAAGATCCCCATGGGCAAAAAAACTGGTCCGTACCTTTGCACTCTTTCAGGCTGATAGAGGCCACAACTAAAAAGAATCATCTGCTCAGGGGGGCCTTTTTCTGCTGTTGTTCCCAATTGGCGCCTCATGAAAGTCCCCTGCGTCTCGGTTTAAACAGCCTTTAACGAAAACGGAAGGGACCAAGTAAAAGGCGGGCATCTTGCAAGTTCCTCTGCAGATCGAAGCCACAGCATGCCACCAAAATGCAGTCTGGATCGTAAGCCGCCAGCACCTCAGAATCGCTTCGAGTTCCGAACTAGAACTTATCTGCTTTCCCTTTGAAAGGCCTTTCAAAAGTTGTTTAAACAGGCTTCCAAACTTAAAGATCTACTTGAGGCAAAGGAACGGATGGATCGATCTGCTTGGATTTCTCGCCTGCGCCTTGCCATCCACGATCACCCCCTGCAGCCACCAGCATGTCAGGGATCCAATGTCCAGCGTCAAATAGCGGCCCCACCCATTCCTTGGCGAAAGTATGTGCTCCCAAAGCGAAATAACAACAAATGTGTCCCTCTTCCTTTAACACATGTTAGACTTAACAAAATTCAATAACGTTGAAAAATGCCTTTGACACACTAAAAGCTTGCCCTAGAAGGTAAGGTTCGAGCAGGACGCATCGCGGAGCCTTGGATTGCCTACCTTGAACTGCGCACGACATCCTGTTGATGTCCGCCTCAAATTTGGATGCCAAGGCCTTGCCGCTTGCAGGCGAGCCTGTCACTGCTTGTGAAACAGTGATAAAGGTCTCTGCAACTTCTGACAGGGTGTGTGGTTCCAAATTGATGACACTGCTAGCATTATCGACTCTTCCACAAGCTCCTGCAACTTGTTGTGCGGACGGTGCGCACACGTTGCAAAGGGCCTGGGTCAAGACTACAGTCGGTTTGGCAGCACGAAACTCTGATTCCAGGATGCCATAGAGAGAGTCTCCCATGCGCAACGAGCCCTCCACAGCTGTGTTGATTTCTTCTTGGGACATCTGCATTGGATTGATTTCAGAGGAAGTCAGCCTGACGCAGGATCCCTTGGCCAGCAACTCGTCGAGGTCCGACTTTTCCGGCGACACGTCACACTCGTGGCTCACACCCACTAGCAGGTGCTGCAACTTCAAATGCCCCATGATCTCTGTGGCGCTTGGCAGCAGGGACGCAACACGAGGCTCTGATGCCGCGTTTGACATTTCGGCTGCAAGCGCCGAGAAGGCACGATGCCATAATACCTTTGATCTTTGAAGACTCTGCGGCATTGAGAAGGTTTGAAGACTCTGCGGCATTGAGAAGGGAGCGCTTAAGAAAACTTCAAAGCCATACAGAAAGCAACAAACAGGGGCCATGTGCATTACCACAAAGAAACACATATAGCTGAGGATAGGAATCCCAACAGGGAAATTTGAGAACTCTTCTGGCAACTCCCAGTTTACAAATTGTGCATGGTTTTTAGACCAGTCCAAAAGACATGCACGGTGTTAGGACTAGTCCATAAAAAGGAAAAGATCGCGAACTCTTCTGAAAACTCCGTCTTTCTGTCTTCTCGTGGCCCCTTCACATCCAGGCAATTTCGCGGGGTTTTCTGGGAATCCAACATGAAAGATTCTGTTTCGATACCGGTGGTTTGAAAAGAATCCGCACATAAGCTTCCCTTGGCTAAGGAAATAGAGACTATGTTCCTCTAAATCAGACAGCCACTTTGCATGGTTTGAGACAACACTGGTAAAAAAATCCGCGAACGTGGCCGGCATACTTACACTACAGAAACGGAAGGGAACTCTAAACCCTTCGAACAGAGGCTAAAACCACGTGAATCCCTCCGTTCTTCCCTTTTCAAAGAGACACATGATACACTGTACTGACTGAAAGAAAATCCCAACAAACTAGCCTTTTGACAGGACAATTGGAGCTGCACTTAAAGATGGCAGAATACATCCCAGAATGGAAATCCCTTTCTAGAGAACACCTTTCAAAAGTAGGTTTTGAAAGAAGGTTAAAAGAAACTTGCTAAGAACAAAAAGGCTCCCCCCGATCTCTTGCTATCCTGGAGAATCGCTATCTTTGCTACCTTTCCAATGTTGAAATCCCTGCCTCTTCAAGTGCTTTCTTAAAGCACTGTAAAGCCTCCACAACACACTTTAAAAGCTCGTTTTAACACTTTCAAAAAGGCTTTTAAGAAGGCTTCGTTACAGCTTGTTAAATGCTCGCTATGTGCCGTTGTCCTTTCCTGTTGCTCCCGATCAGTGTCTCAAGAACGAAGGGCTGACCGTAGGGACTCCATGCCCTGACATATAGAACAGACAAGTAGCTGCTACAAATAATTATTGGATCCCTCCCTATAGGTATAGGTTCCGAGAGTTTCCACACACTGTCCATATGGTTCTCTCCACAATGAACGATAGTGAAGATAGCCCTTAAGAAAGCCATGTGGACCTTCTATCATTTCCCACATGCATCTTACATGTCACATCTATGGTTCCTATAATTCCCCTTTGCAAAGGGGGGAGAGGCCAGTGTTTTCCATTTTGTGTTAAAGGGATAATGAGAAGAAGCTAGGGAAATGTGGCCCTGAAGACAACCCCAGTTTCCGTGGTATTCCGTCAGGTTTCCCAAAAAGAAGATAGCCTTTGAAGATGGAGGGGGGTGCATGGGCAGTCCGATACACCTCCAAGACAGCCACCCGTGTTGGTCAAGACTTCCTTCAGAACCTGCAAAACCCTTGTAGTTGTCATCTAAAACCCTAGTAGAGGGTTCATGACCAGCACCACCGAGTGAGCAGCGCCCGAAACCCATTGACTTTCGGTTCCCATGTGGTTATCAAGGTTTAGATTGCACCCCATATGAAACCAGGAAGGTTTGGGGCGCTGCTCAAATAAAGACATGATTTCACCACTGAGGATGGCACGGACATGCTCCGGCACCTTGCCATCCACCTGGAGCACAGCAGCCGAGAGTTTCATGTTTTGACTCACCCAGGGTTGGCTTCGCCACAAAAGGAATCCCTGGGTTTCAGTCCCCGGAGCCCAATTGGAACCCGGTCATAAGAGGGCCTTCCGCACCTCCTTGAGCGCATACCTGGCGCGGTAAGCTGCCGCCAGCTGCGAAAGCACGCAAACCTGCAAACCCCCCCCTACTCAAGGCACGCGACTTAGAAAGTTTATCACGTATCCACTTGCTAAGTAACCTGCCTCGTGTAAGTGCCTTCTACATGGTCGAGTTTGCAGACTCAATCCCCCAAAACGTACCCCAAACAAATCAGGCTTCCAAAATCGACGGTGACCATGTCCATTGTGATACACAAAGAACAACAAAATGAGCATGAAAGTAAAGGATACCCTGCATCATGGTCTCCGCTCGCTCAAAGCCCCGCCTCACCCCCTCCCCCGTCCTGACCCTACAAAGTTAAGAAAAACCTTCCAAATGCGCCCTAAAGAACCTCTTTCGCTTTCGAGGTTGCTGTACGCCATCCCCTGCGCCTAAGCCCAGTGTGGCAGTGCTCCACAAGCCTGCGGCGGTTGTTGATTTGTCGGCGGAAAGTGTGGATCTGGGAGTTCTTCAGGGGAAGACCAAAATTGGCCAAGATGGGCTCTGCTTTCTTTGGGAGGGTCAGGACCGGCTTTTGTGACAACACTCTCTCCCAGGACCAGCTTCTAGGCGAGGAGCGGCTCAACCTCCTGGGGCATTGTACATGGTGCGACATATCCAGGGATTGACGGCCAAAACCCGACCAGACGGCCCGGATCCCGGGAAATCGGATCTGTCCAGGTCCAGGAGTCTAAGTGCCAACTTGGATCAAAGAAGCAGTAGTCAGCAATACAGGAACTCTATGTTCAGCTACTCAGCTACTCAGCAATACTAGCACTCAGGAATTTGATAACTAGCCCCCCAGGTTCATTTAATTGAATTTGGTGAGCGCGCCTCATGTCATTCCCCCTGGTAGATGATTGTAAATATTGGCGAAGAGCAAAGCTCGATCCGGCCGGATCGAGCCCGGCCTCACTCGGCCGAAGCCGCCCACTCCGATGACACGCACGGGGGTGAGCTCTTGCAGCTCTACACAGGAGTCCTGGCAAAGTGCCAACTCTCAATGTGGATCTACACGGCATCAAACCAAAGAGGTCTTGAATCCACAACTGTGAGCCACTAGCCACCACTTCAGTAGTGGATGAAAACAAAGTCGAAAACAAACTAGCAGGAGACTTTACGGGAAATTATCCCAATCCACGGGCTGGATTCGCCGTCATACCCAATGGTGAGCCCCCCCCCCCCGCCCCCGGAATGAACCCCACATTGACGGTAGCCTTCTGGAAACTCTGGCCGAACATAACATGCCCTCCTTCCAGGAGGAGGAGGCAAGAGAGTCCCCAATTCCCAGTTTCCTTTTGCTTCACTCAACCCCTGACCAATGCCGTTGTTTGAGGGGGAAAACGTTACATGATCTTTCCTTTTCTTGAGGGGGCCCAAAAACTTGGGTTTTTGCTCTTTTTGGCTTCCCTTTAAACCAACCCCGAAAAGAGTATCCAGCCTCAACAAAACGGAAAGAAAAGAAAAAACACGCATTTGAGATTTGCCTCATAACTCGAGCACTTTAGAAGAGTCCTGAAAAGGGGGCAGAGCCCTTAGAAAGCTTCCCTGCCCCTCCTGAATCTCGATGCGCCGCATGATCTCCTGGCAAAAAGAAACACCCGTCGAAACGAAGGCGGGGAGATGGCCCAAGGAGATGTGAATCAATCAGCATTCTCAACATGGGGATTCTTCTATAAGAACATGTGCTAAACTTCCTCTGTGAGTTTTGAAGGGAACGCATTACTACTGCTTGTTTGTTTGTTGTATTGCTCTATTTTGTCCAGGGGACTTCAGCAAATTGGAGGAAAATTGGTGAGTACCCCCATGTTCTTATGGCAATTTGGGGGGTGTACCCAATGTCGTCCCCTTTCCCTACAAACGGGAACCCAAAACCCATTATTCGTGCAGAACACAAAAATATGGGTGTTCCCGCGGAAAACCAGGGCAACAACCCAATTGTCCAATGTTGGCTTGGGGAGCCGAGGATTTTGGGCAGTCATGTATGAGCAACTGACAATATTGGTCGGTAGTCGATGTTCATGCTTGGTGCGGAATCCTCAACCACTGCTGCGTGCTAGTGCCAACCTGACGGTCGGTTCAGGCACTGGAATCCTCAATCAACCGCGTCAGTTGGTCAGAATCAGTCCCTTAAGCCTCTGTCAAACCTTGACAAAAAGACCACTTCCTGTCGATAGGCAATGTTCAAAGAGGTCCTTTCCGGGCCCCCTTCCCTTGGCCGGCATTTTTGAGACCCGTACGACATGGGCTCTTCAAACGCAGCCCTCCCCCCAAACAAAAAAGTCCCTTGGTGTCTCTTCCAACCAAACCAAGCTGGATACCAACGGTCAAAACACAACGCGCCACGGCCGCATGTGCCATTGTCCAAACTCCAACTGGAATGGTTCCATGCGCACCCAAGACAAAATAATTTGACCGTGTCACATATGGGTTTGTCTCCAAACTGGGGAAGCCTCAAAATGCGTGGTTTCCCTTTGAAATCACCCTAAAAAGGACACCCTCCAAAAAGACATGCCCATACGGGTACTTTTGTGACGGTACCCTTGTTGGGGTTGGTGGAAAGAGCCACCAAAAGGAACCAGAAACGGGTCGTCCATGTTGAGACAAGCCCTGATATGAGCCAAAGCAAAAATACGCAACCGTCATGGACCTCGGCAAGCGAGCCACTTTTGTGGAGAAGCACTGGAAAGATGTTTCGTGCGTCTACCCTTGAAAAAAATCCTGGAGTAGGAGGATGGGCGGAACCATCGAACTCTCGAACTCCATCAAAAACATCTCACCTCTAAGAATCTGGGAGATTTTCTCTAACACCTTTTCCTCCAATCATCTCTGCATCCAAACTGTTAATATTCTGGAAATCCTCTAAACATCCGGATGCCCCAACTGCCCCAACCCCCCCCCAACCTCGCCGTCTCGCCTGGCGCAAGCTGTCCGTCAGCACCTCCACGAAGGCGGTCTTCTCCAAGCACCACAGCTCCGCCTTGGACCCAGAAACCCCGCTGGTACCCCATACTTAAGGCCCGGGAACCAATTGCCTGGGGTCCCCTGGATTTGCACATGGAGAAAAGAAGAAGAAAAAAAAATGGGTGGGACACGTGGGAATGATTGATTTCCTTTGAGTGGGTCAGAGGAAAACAACCAAAAGGGGGCTCTCCACCCAACCAAAATGCACCCTTTATCTTGGCCCGTTAGTCGGTCGACACTTCGAGTTGTCCACAAGAACAATAGAGAAAACACAATGCCGGCGCGAAATCGAGCCCGAGGAAGGGAAAGGCGTCGCATGAGTTCCAACCAGCGCGCACATGCGGAAAGAGCATGAAAGCTTAGCCAGCCCTCTGCTGGGTCGGTGATGTGGAAGACCACCAAAACTGGAAACTTAGGCATGTCTTTTGGTGGAGTGACCTGGGGCCAGGAAAGGCTTAAGCTTTGGATTCCCCAAAGCTTTGAAAGGGAAGCCAAAGTGAAACAGAAGCCTCACAAGGGGAAAGGGAGTACTGGGTTCACCGAAGTGACATCCTCAAAATCCTCCTCTAGAATGTGAAATGAAGCTGTATCCCACCCGAAGCCGGTGTATCCTTCTTTCTGGGCACCCTTGTTGGGATGGTTCTAACGGGAAACCAACCGGAAAGCCGAAGCCATGTTTGGGCCCCATAAAAGATGACACGCCCAAAAATGACACGCCCAAGAAGCGTTTGTTTCAAAAACCCCTCCCAGATGAAACACCCCACAGGAACCCACTTCAAGCTATGCCTCCCGCCTCGGTGCTCACCACCCTCACAGTGGCGGTCCGGCAATGGTCCTGGGCCGCGGCTTAACAAGAATGTTACCAAGATGGGTGTGTGTGTGTGTGTGTCTTTTTAGGTGACTCCCAAGATGGTGGTGTGTGAATGTGTGTGTGTGTGTCTTTTTAAGGGACCCCGAAAAAATTGCGGTTGTTCTTTTGGTGTCCCTTTGAATCCAGCAAAAAAGGGGGCATATACCCTCCCAAAGAGAAAACACGAAATGTGAAGGCAGGCTTTTGCATTCTACACTCCCCCCAACAATCATGCAAGCTGAAAGGGGGTTGGAAGACTTCCTTTTAGGGGAAGCCGCACGGTACACAAGGACGTTAAACCCATGTTGAACCCACAGTATGGACTTTCCAGCAGGGAAGCCACCAAAAAACGGCTTCGGCTATGATGCATGCTTGTCAAACCAAGCCCAAAATGAGCACCACATGGCCGCAATCTTCAAAATTCCTCACGGCCTGGCTTCGACCGACAGAGAGGACCCCCGAGCTTCACCCCGAAACAGGTTTGCCGGCAATGCTTCAAGCCACGTGTCCACTGACGTCAAAAAGCACACGGTCACCGTGCCTGGGACACCTCAAATCGTGACAACTGGTTATATCTTGTGTGCTTTCAAAACAATTATGCGAGTTGGTTGACCAAAACGGGAAGAATGTCCCATCAAAACCACCACCAATGGAAAACCTGGACTGTTGCGAGGGCTTGCATAGGGATTATGCTGCCCCTGGTGACAAAGATATTGCACTAACTTCTTGAATTTGACATGCACCATTCCTGGTGAGTAACAGAAGGTCAATCAAGGAAGGGCTCAAAGTTTGCTGCCCCAAGCCAGAATTCCTGACTCAGCCCACGTGAGGGTCAAAATCTGCAGAAAAGGACATGGGGGAAATCAGCCTTCTGTCCGCGAGACCTTTGTGGCTGAGTTTTGAATTCCTAAATTTGTCCCGGAATGTTGTTTGTTTTTCTCATGACATTACTTGACCCTCCACAAAACCTTCCGCCTATCTTCAGCGGCGCGAACCGACGCTTCCGCTGGCTGTTTTTGTCAACATTGCTTCCGCGGGCATGTTTTGGTCACTGTTCCGCGGCCACAGTGCTGTTCATTCTGGGTTTCTGCTGCAGCTTAGGTTGTTTAGCGCAAAAATCTTTCCGCGAGGCAAACCCTTCCACAAACCGTCCGCAAACCTTCTGCGACCCGGGCAAAAAGAACGAACCTGAAATGGACCATTACAACACCCTGCGTCCAACGCGCGTGCTCAAGCCATCCGTCCTCGAAGAGCAAGGCACGCTCACCAAAGTGCCCATGCCTGAACAATCGGGGTCCGGTTTGCTTTAAGTGGGAAACCCTACAAAGTTTGCGTGGAACAGGTCTACCAACATTGTGGGGGTCGCGTCCGCCGACCACCCACCGGATTTGGGCTGCTTCAGGCCCAACCATTGGCCTGGCCAGCGTGCGGACCCGGTGTCCATCGATGATCACCTGCACCTGACGCGAACTCACACGGGTCCCGAGCTTTTAGTTTGATTCGACACGCGTGAGTTGTTGATTCCCCCCTGAAAGAATCAGCTGCACTTGAGAAAAATCACTGAACAAAACGGATCCCGCTGACGCCCTTGCTGAATTCTGTTGCCTCCCATCCCAACCCCCTTTTGGAAGCTAGAAACCAAGAGCCCAACGCAACCGCCTGCCCGCCTGCCCGCTGGCGACGATGTAGAAGGCCGTGCCTATCTCGCCCTGCAGGAGAATCACTGCGGAGCACTCGGATCTCGAAAAATGCGAAGAACCCCTCTGTCCCGCCTCTTTGGGGCTAGTGGAAAGTGGAAATCTTCGAGAAGTCATCTGCTGTAATTCGCGCACCCGAAACTTGGAATCCCCGAGTAAAGGATCTTCGTCATGTGTGAGCTTGTTGTACCCCAGGTGAGCATCACTTTGGCTTGCCGAGAGATGTGTCTCGAAAGAAGACGGCCTGACAGTCAACCATTTCTGGGGCCAGGTTCTAAAGAGATAATCCAGCCAAAATACTGCTGAGCATATCGAGAATTCTCCCAAGCTCAAATGCCACTTGAATATGACTGAAGGGTAAAAGGCATGTTGGCTCCCTCGTGAAACTGCCCTGAGCAGGCCTGCTCAAAAATGGTCTTGCCCTGCTTGTAGATGCAGGGTACCAACCTGAATCGCAAGCACGGGGCCGACTCCTTCATCAAATCAACCTCTCTCGGGACAGGGTAACCCCCAACATAAGCTCCGTTTCCCCCTTCGGTTGCAAAACAACCCCAAAAAACAGTACCATCCAAAAAAATTCAATCGTCCAGGGGTAAAGTGCTGTTGCCACGTGAGCCCCGGATAAAATTCGGAAACATGGGGCGCAGCCTCTTGCTTGTGGTGGCAAACTTGGGTCGCGCCCCCCCCCTTCTTCGTCCTCCCCAAACCAGCAACAGACCCATTGCTCAGACATGACCAAAACTATTTGGTTCGGGCAACAAAAGAACAAGAAGCGTGAAAGATAGCCGTACCCCGAGACTGAGCAAGCCCACCCGCCGACGCTTTCTTCAACAAAGATGGTTCAGGTCGGTTCACCATGGCACACGTGTGGGTGCTTCTCAAAACTGGTAGGTCTGCTTGTGGTTCCCCTGCAAAACTATCGCGTGTGTGTGTGTGGTTTAGCCCCCCCCCCCCGTATCGAGAAATGAAACCTCTGCTTGCCGCTCCCGTGGCTGCTTCACCAAGCGCTCGATCTGCGTGCCGGTCAGGTGTCTCAACACGGACCTGGGTGAAGTGCAGAGGTAGTTGGGCTTCTCCAAACGGACTCCTACTGCAGAGACTCTTTCTTCCCTTTGGCTTCCTTTAAGATAAACCAACAAAAAGCTACGCTCCAAAAAAAGAGACGCTCCCAAATCAAGCGCTCCAATCCACTGGCATAAGCCCGGGGCACTCGACGAGCCTCTGCGCACGATGGAGCAACACGCAAGCACTCCAACACACAAAGGCGAGCTACCACCCCAGAAAACAAGCATCCCCTTTTGGAAGACTTCTACTAACCTTTTGGAACGGGAGCCTGAGGACAACCATGACGTTTTGGTACCCCTTTTGGACTTGTGTGGGGAAAACCTGTTTTGAAGGCTCCAAACGGCATCGTCTCACTCTGAACTGGATCGGTGTATCTCATCCGATCTTTCCTGCCTGCAGCACCTCCAGGGCAACGTCAGTTGTATCCTGCAAGGACTAGGCCCTTCTGACGTTCAAACTGATGGCTGGCAAAACAAGCAAATTTGAACAACGACCTGATCTTCTGCAAGCACACTGCAAATTTGAAACAAACCCAGATGGCTGTGATTTGAAATGGTCAGCACTCCTGCAAAAGTGGTGGGTGGACATACCACATATGGATTCTGTGATACCCGCCAAAAAGTATTTGTCCACTTAAATATCATACCCAAATAAGCTATGGTCTTCACTCCCTCAGAGGAACACTTATCCTGGTTGCCTAACACCCTAGCAAGGGTTGCATGACAGTCTGTACCCCCAAGTGGGTGTCTCTCAAAATAAAGAAGCCCATGTTTTTGGGTTGTTTTCTTCGGGCTTCCCAGAAACAAACGATCAAGGGCATGCCTTCTAAGCCCCAAGCACCTTTGTACCGGCCAAGCCTCTGCGCTCGCGACTGGGGACACGCCGAGCTCCTCGCGTCTGAGTGCCCAGGAAAACCCTGCCTAAGAAACCGGAGATGCCATGGACTAGGCACATCCGAAAAAAACCCAATCCCAATGCCTGGTCTAGAAGGGGCCATGCCTTTGGCATGGGGGGGGGGGGTTCTGTGGTGGCAAATGGCCATGGGTCAATATCCAAATCCTACCCCAGTGAACATCCGATTCAATCCAACCACCAAAATAGGTTCTAAAATCGGTGGTGAATTCACCTATCCGACGTTTTCTGTGGTCGTGTTGGTGCATCATGTGTCTTGGAGCCTAGCATCTTTCCATCTAGCGGAACAAGACTCTTGAGCATATCCTGCAAGCAGGCAGGCTTCCAGTATGAAACATCTCTCCCCTTGAAGGAATGGTCGTGTCAACACCTGTAGCTTGTGTAGATAACAAAAACCCAACTTGTGTGTGTGTGTGCGCGCGTGTGCACAGCGTGTTGGTGTCCCTTTAAACTCAAAAAAAAGGCAGAAACACGCACGAAAAAGAAAAAAAGAAAAAGAAAACTCGCACACCAGCAGCCCACAATAATAAATCACCCATCGAAAATCAGAAATGGTCGCCCAAGAAAGGAACCTTCGCTCATGTCGCACCCAGCGCGACGTTGCAAGTTGCAACCAGAGGCAATCACAAAACCGAAATCCAAATCCCATTCTGAGACAAACCCATAAATAGGAATCGGTCCTTCCAAAGGTGTGCTTTTGGGCTTCCCTTGTGAATACCAACTGAAAGGCAGCCCATCATCACGGCGTCTTTAGATAGGGAACCAAACACATGGTTGGGTTGTTCTTGGCTCCCTTAAAAAGCATTCCAACAAGGTTAAATAAACAATTTGTCATGTTGTTTTTCTTTTTTGTACGGAAACCAAAATAGTTGGGGTCCAAATCCCAAAACAAGACAGTTAACTACATGGGAGTTTCTCAAAATGGTGGACCCTTTTGGTATTTTAAAAGCCCATGTAGTAGTGGTATATCCCAACCGGGGTTCCGTCCACACACATATGTGGCAGGGTACCTGGAAGATCATTTCCTCTTGTATGACCATGTTCCTGTCAGGTGCAACGGCAACGTGGGACTTTTGTTGTTGGCATATTATGTTTCTTTGGAGTTGCTACTTCTGTTGTGCGGTTTCTGAAGGGAAACCAAAAGAAAACCCACATTTTCCGACGGGGGGGGGGGGGGTCCGGGTCCAAGTCCCAAAAAAATGACAAACCCAGGTCAGTCAAATCATTCTTCAAGAAAAGACAAGTTTTTGGACAAACGCAGGCCAGTTTGCTGTTCAGATCATTCCAAAAAAGCTGTTTATTTGTCCTGCTGGCTCCCCTTAAACCTAGCGAAAACCCCGGACTCCCCGGACTCCTCGAAGGCCTGGCGCGCCCGGGTGGCCGCCAGCACCGCCATGGTCAGGCCCTTGGGGCCCGCCAGCAGCCGAACCACGGCCTCCTGGAGGCTTCGGAGCCCAAAGGGCCCAAAGGCGACGGCCTTTGCGCGACATGGCCATGGGTCAAAAGCCCGGTTAGCCCCCAATGAACATCCCAACCCCCGGCTCTGAGCCACATTTCTGGTCAAAACCGTTTTGGGATCCCATTTCGGTTGGGATTGGTGAATTCACCACCCATCTTGGAACCTATTTTAGTGGGGATTGGGATGTTCACTAGGGGTACGATTTGGATTTTGACCCATGGCCACATGGTCTTTTGAACTACCCAGAAAAAGGAGCGTAAACCATGGCTTCATCTGTTGAATCCAAACTCTGTTGATGACCTCCTGTGGATTTCTCGACGAAGTCGGGGCGTGGTTGGTGAGATTTATGTGCGACCGACCTGTCCGAACAAGGCACAAGACGTTGAACTGGATGGCACACAGGTGGGTAAAGGTAATGACTAAATCAAACTGGGGAAAGTGTGCCGCCTGCTTTTGCCGACTGTAGACCCCCGCACAGGGTGAAAAAAAAACGAGAGCGCAAAAAAGGCCAGAAAACACGTGTAGCATTGTCTGGGTAACGACCACTTTGAACATATCTGGAAATCGGCCCCTGGCATCACAAAAGTGGGACAAACCTCCCACCGCATTCCCACAACCCTGCTTCAGCCGCGTTTGGGGGCGATGTTCCCTGACACGTAAAACCCCACACTTCAAGGGCCAGCCGTGTGTTTCCGGGCGGCTAGAGGTCCTCTTTACAGGATATGCTGAAACCTCTTGCAGGAACCCGTCATGTTCTATGTCGGATGTGCTTGTACCTGCTGAAACCCATAGCGCTGGGCCCTGCCGGCCTCTGAAGTCTCCAAATCCTCTGTGGCGAATCCTTCGAGCCGCTCCGCCTCATCCTGCGCGCGCTCGCAACTCGCGGGCCGCGCGCCCTATTGGAGCAGCGACCAAAACCCAACGTTTGGCTCCACCAACACGGCTAGGAAGGTTTTTTTAGGCTTTCAATACAAGTGAGTTTGAGGCACCCATCTGCCACCGTGGCCGCAACGTTGCAGCACGAGTCCTGCGAGGAGAACAGCGTGGAATCGATGTAGCGGTCTCCATGGATCAACTCCTCTGCAAAGTGTCCATCACAAGCTCGCGGCCCCCTTTCCCCATGGGTTTCGCAATTGGGCGGCGTCCCAGTTATTCCCAGTTTGAACCAGAAAAGACATGCTGCCCTCCAAATTCACAAGGCACATGGAATGTGAAAAAAAAGCGTTCAAGCATGTCCCTTGCAAACAGGTGTGCACTCAAAAGCAAACACCCAAATGCGCTGCGCCCAAAAACTGGTGACTTTTGCTTCTACTCCGATGGTTATCAAGATTTACACTGGACATACGATCACCCTGATAAAACCAGGTAGCAGAATGGGGATTCGGCTGCTGCTCAAATCTCCGCCCATTGCCTCCGTCGCAGTACCGCGCTGTACCAGCATCATGCCGTCGAACACCAGAGCGAACCTCTCCGTGTGTGTTTTGCCCTTTTGTGGGCACGTTGGCCAGGGGAACCCCTTTTCGGACGTTTTTTTTTCCACCAGAAATGTTTTTTTTTTGCCGGACATGTTCAGCCCATCCCACTCGCCCCGTGCCCTCCGCTGCCCGCGGAAGCTGAGCCAAGCGCTGGATGTCCTCCGAGATGAGCTGGTGCGGCTGGTAGCTCCGCACCTAGCGAAACGTTCGCCTGGGTGGCCCAGCGGCTTTTCGCTCGGGGCGGGATGCGTTGCTGATTTGGCTGTGGGTCAAAAATCGGTACCAAACTGGAACCAAGGACTACCTGTGGTCCGATTCCTGGTGGTTTAAGTTTGACCCATACCCATTTGTTTGTCGCGAGAAAGGAAGCCTCGGGTCATCCCAATGTGTTTCAAAAGGCGAGTCGCATGCCCTAAAGCAAGGGAATGAGCATCTTCCCGCAGATGCTCCCCCGACAAGATAGACCCAATGGGTTTGTGTTTGTGTTTGAGGCTCGGTACCATGTTTGAGGTGTCAAAGGGCATGCCAAATGTGCCATCAGGCACAGGGTCCCACAGGCTATGGGTTGGTGGCCCTCGGATTGCCTTTGGTGTCCAACTCCCAAAAGGTTCTCCATCTACTTTCCTTTCTTCGAAACCTCCCAAATCCTTTGTGGCTTCCCTTCTCCTTCCCTGCAAATCATCGATCCCCTAAAATCACCCCAACCAAACAAAAACCACAACGGTCTTTTCCCCCCAACCAACAAGAAAAGCCATCCGGACAACCCATAAATACATCCCCCCACCCAAAATCACCTTGATTTTGGGGAGCCACCCCAGCCACCCCAGCCCAGCCACAGCCAGCCAGCCCGGCCTCCATGGCCTTGGCCAAGAGCTGCTTCTGCCTGGCCGCGAAGCCGGCCATGAAGGGCACCTGGCAGTTGTCAAAACTAGGGTAACCCCCAAATGGCTTGCCCTGGTACATGGAAACATGGACGATTCAACCTGCGGTCCGATTCCTGGTGGTTAAGTTTTGACCCATACCCACCTGGTTCAACCCGAAGACCTCAGCGACCCACCGACGACGTGACGAGACGGCGACATCCGAGTCCGGCGAGGAAAAAGCGCCCGGCTGCGACCCAAAGGTCCTACGGAAAGAAGACAAAAAAATCCGGCGAGTGTCCCTGAAGACTTGAGGAATCAAGCTCTGGCACTCCAGGACTGTCTAGGTAAAGAATCAAGAGGCCAGATGTCCGGATCGCTCCTATTGTGGCTGAGACTGTCCCTAACCCAATACTCAGGCCTTGATTGTGGCTCCTGTGCCGAGCCTACCCAGAGAAGCGTCAAAGGGATAGGGCCGGTTGTCGAAATAAGGCCTCTTAGCCCCCAAACCCTTGGGCCATGCTCTGAGCTACGGGCCATGAATGCTCGCTGCACGCATTCATCCGCATCATCCCCGAACATCTGGCCACATGTTGCCAACCAACAAGCCTTGAGGACCTGGACAGACAAGTGGAGGGTGAACCGTGGCCTGCAGCAGAGTCTGAAAATCCAGCGTCAGCAACTTGCAGTCGGTGTCCGCCACGGTGTGCCACCTCGGCATATGGCACTCCACGATATCAGATAATTCCAGTCCCTCGCCTCAAGGGATTCTGACGAAACTGGGGTATGCAGGTGCCGGAGCAAACCACGTCGCCCGCAAGGTACTTGGCCATCCTCCCAGATTCCGACTCCGCGAAACCGCGCAACAGCTGAGCCGCTGGAGAAAATGGTAGAGCCCGCTTGCCCGCAGCCAATCAGCAAACCGGAGCGGCCTCCGGGCAGTGTCGTGGTCAGAGTTCAACACGCCGCTGAGCCTTCACAAGCGCAACCTCTCAACAGCACATGTGCAACAAGCAACGCTCGGCCCGCCTCCCCGTTTGCAACAGAAAGATGAAGCACACCACATCGCCCTCGATGGAAACCTCGAAGAGTGCGAAGACCCTCCAAAGGCAGAGAACCCCATCACAGCCAAGGTCCTGGCACGATCCCCCGCTTGCAGCACCTGACACACCGGAAGCTCCCACAGCTCACGGGATGTGCTGATTGCACCGGAAATGCGCGAGAGCGTGAATCTCCAAGCAACGAAGACTTGGCAAAAATCACATTGAAGACTGACTTATATGTTCCTGCACACCCCAAAAACACAACTGCGGCATGCCGCACTCACTAATACAGAATCGGAGAGAGGGGCTGTTTATGTGACGCCATAAATTGGCCCATGGCACTCCTTGAGCCTTGCGCTTTGCGCACGCGTCAG